TTAATCCTGAATAATTTCCTTTGAGTTTTGGCAAAGGAAATCTATCCAACTCTTCATTTCTCTTTCATCTCAAGACTTTTTCTCATTTCAAGGGTGAAAGTTGTATTTGTTTGAACATCCGATGTATCAGACGATTGTGCAATGTCTTTATCATGCATCCTTTTTTGTTTACTGCAGTATCACACTGTGAAAGTAGTTCATAGAAGACTCTTGCTTTTTAGTTTCGCAAAGCTGTGCTTCTGGTAAGCAGAAGACATTATGACTGTATGTCAAAACTATGTATTACCGTGTATGGTCGTATATCTTAAAAATCTCAGGAAATTTTGAATTGCTCCATCAAAAAAAACCAACAGTAAACAAGTGGTAAGTATTAAAACAGCAATATATAAGTAGCACAGTAACTGGTACTTATTAGCATTAAAGGGAACAAACAGAAACAAATGCTTTAAATCATGGCTGTTAATGTTTTGATTCTTTAGGAATTATGTTTTCATTTATCTGAAGTAAATACGTACAAATTATGTCCCCAAGGGACTGTCATCTAGACTCCAGTGGCTCTCTCAGTAACTGTTAGATCCAAGAATCCGTTTACTTTTCGTCACATCTTGTAACCTGAACAGTTATGCATTTCTGGTTTTGATATCTTGCTTTACTTCAGTTAAGTAAAAATGCCTGTTGTTTTGTTTTCCTCATAATTTGCAAAGCATAATCCACTTGATGGTCTCACGAACTGGAAATCTGTGCCTTGGCCAAGGTTGTTGATGTACAAGACCCCCTGGTACTCCTTGGTTCAGGGTTCTCATGCAGCTACTCAAAGATGCCTCAAAACTTTTGCCTGGTGCTGGGGGTTTATGTCCAGTTCTTACATTAGCAAAGAAAATACCTGAAGTATAAACTCGAGGCATATCCGTGTCCAAACCTGCATTGGCTGAGCTGAGCTAGCGCCAACCCACATGAACAGACCCAAGACAAGAGCCTGAAATAGTAACGAGATGCAAATTGTCCCATTTATTGCCTTGAGATTAAAATCCAAACACCATTCGTTGATTTCTACAAACAACGTAATAGGTGACCAAACTGCAAAAAGTAAAGGGATATTTGTAGCGCTATTGTCGCACTTCAGATGACTTATTCTGGTTGCAAGTCAGAAAGACGGGGTTGCAAGCGAAGCCTTACTGTGAAAGGTTTGATGTCTGCATGGCAGCCGAGGAACTGAGCTGGATGAGCATCCTGCCGCGTGCGCAGGCTGAACGAGCTCCTCGCTAAGGGCTACCAGATGAAGAGTCCAGCGCGGGCAGGACAAACAAGTCTTTCAGCTTCCAACAAATAGCGGACCAGTCAGGCTTTCTTCTTGAATCTCAAGGGGGCAAGAAATTTGTGGGTTCGGTTCGGAATAGTACATACGATTTCCCCAGGCTTCCGCAAATCTGCTTGACTTTCATTAAGCTAATCAAATTACTTTTCATTTACGCTTTCCTCTTTAATGTAGATGTGCTCCGAACAACTTCAGTAGGAACAAACCCCTGGCGAGGTCAGATTGTGTACTTACTTGGGGCTCTAAGCACGCCTGCTAATTCGGGGAAAGACAAAAACATTCAGGACCAGGATTTTTGGTAGAGCTTTACCAGCTGTTACAGAGCTGAGGCACATTTGCACAGCCCTCTCCCTGTGTTCATGCGCGTTAGTAACAACTGACTCGTGGATAATGCCCCTAGCTCCTTTAAACTGGCCATGCAACTGCTTATTTTTAAGAAGTTGTGAAAGCAGTTACTTTAAAGCTGTTTTAGAAACGTTCATAGTGAAGCATTCAGACTCATTTCCTGGTGTTTGATTTAAGGTTCGAGTTAATTTTTTTATGTGGTTAAAATTTATGTTGCAGAATAGAAGAAAATTTATTTGGCTTTACAATAAATATTGAGTTAATTCACATTTATTAACTAACACATAGGTACGCTGGCCCATAGGACCACTTCAAGTCTTTTTTAATGCCACCGTCTTTCTTTGTGGTTAGGTCAGATGGTAAACGTACCCAACTGGAAATACAAACGGTAACGCAAAGTGAAATTCTTACTGCGATTTTTGAAGAGTAGCGAGGGCCCTATATTCCAGGAAACCAGTTGGCCTGGTTAATGGATTAAGAAAAATATGGTGTGTATTAGCTGGAAATACATGTAAACATAAGACAAGAGGGTCCGTCGTGCATTTCTTTCTTTCTTCACACAGTCACTGTTCTTACTAGTTCTTTCTATCCAGACACATTGTTTCCAGTGACAGTAACCCTGCCGTCTGCTCTAAGACACTCAGACGCAGTTAAAAATCCCCCAAAGTCATCTAAGCGCAGTATGAGCAAGCTGCTCACAGCTAACTGGGTAGCTGCCATGAAACCACGAGACGGGAAGAAAACCACTCTGAAAGAAGGTGGTACTCATGGAAGACGGGGGGGGAAAGGGAAGGACGACGACTGAATTCCCACGGCTAGTCAGTGAAGCAGGAGGTCAACACACACATTGCTACGGCAAACTGAACGTGACCCAACTTGGACAAGATACCAGTTTTCAATACCCTATCAAATTAACAGCTAGGATTGTGAACTCTCCTCTATTTAATACTTACTAGGGATGCGATGGGAAGCCAAAGAATTTTGAATTGTTTGAGGGCAAACCCAACTTGTTCCCAAGTACAAAAAAAAAAGTATGTCCTGTGAGAGGTATTAACTAGAGGCAACAGAATGAAAACATTATATTCAATTTAGAAATCATGTCTACACAATGTTGCCTTAAGCAGAGACATTAAACCTTGGAAACAGCATTAATTATACATGATATATGCCTTTTATTTTCTCCAAGAAAATAAAGGAGCAAGAAAGGAAAAAAAAATTCTAATACAGTTGACATAAAACACCATGTTTGCCCACCTAAAATACGAATTTGAGGCAAGACGCTTTGAAGGAAGTCTCATTTTCAGGTCACGGGCTTCTGATAATCGTATGAACTGTGATAATCGTACTAACTGCTAATTGTCAGTTACCAGCGTGCAAAATGAGCATTCTCCAAACATTACAGTTTGCAAGAGCCAGCTCTGAAACAGGCATTACCGTTTCAGCACTTAAACAGCGTGGGGTTAAACACTCTGCCCTCCGTGCTTGCTCTGTACTAGCTGGTCCCCACTCACTATTCTGTCAGGGAGACGAATGAGCGAATAACTACAAGTACACAGTAAGACAAATACGTAGAGCAGTCCGTACACCACAGTCAGTACCGACAGTACCGATTCAAGCCTGCAGCGCAGCCAATGCCCCGAGATTGAGAGCCGGAGAATGGCCAGAAACAGGAGTGTAAGGCCTCCAACCCGACCCAGGATTCCAGTGTATTATTAAATACTTGATTACACACAAGTAAGTTTACTGGCACAACAGTAACTTTCACAGCGAATGACGAGACACACGGAGTCTCACTTTTCAGTGGAGTGTCCACGCTGCAGAGGTATTTACATTAACTCATATAGTCAGCTCCTGAGACGATCATTCCCTTACACCAATAAACAACCTGCAGTATAAGCATGCATTAAGATTCCTGAGGGGGGAAAAAAAAGTTACTATATCTTTATATTCTTTTACTTGCGAAAATCCAGTATTATCCCAAATCCCCCAAAATATAAAAAAAAAAATAAATTTTTATTGGCAAGCTTACTGTTCAATAGCTTGTGTCTTCTAGGTGTTGCTATTCCCTCAATGCCATAAGCCTGCTGCTGCGTTTTCTCACTCGGAGACTTCTCATTCATCCAAACTTTTCATTCATTCAAAAGAAAAAGCGTTTCTTCTTTTTACAGATGGTAAACCACCACCACAGGAATCTGCTTCAGTTTTATCAACTAAATCTTCTGCCTCCTGTTACTTGCATAACTCACAACTAAGAAACTTTGTGAATATTTTCATGATAAATCTAATCAGCTTTGGAATAGTGCACTAAAAGACACAGCAGTGTAATCCTGGCAGACTTGGTGTATTTTCAGAGTCCTCTCATCACGGCCACGAGAAGCATTCTCTGTAAGTTAAATTTTTGATACAACTTCAAGATCATCTGATTAGCACATTCCTTTTTTTAGACGATCAGCTTTTCTGAAAGCAATCTTCCTGTTTTGATTGTTGTAAGCAGTATTTGGCTCTTCAAGCATTCTCATCTCCCCCCTCTTTTTTTGCTCCTCGTTTCAGCTGATTGCTCTGTACCCCCCAAAATAATCTTCTCTTTCATGCTGCTCTGCTGCTAGTCCACTACATCGATAAGGTCTTTGAGAATTTTCATCTTGGTAGGTAAGTTATTTTTCATCTCCAACAAGGATGTCAGGAATGCTTTTATGCTACCAACCTCATCGTGGTTTTTGCTCACCTATAGGCAAAACCCCAAAATAAACACAATGCCGCAAGATGAAACAGCACAGCCGAGAATGTAAGAATCCCTAATGGAAGATGACATTTTGGTTGAGACAGAGCAGGCGATGCAAACATTAGGAAACACTCTTCAGTAGTTTTGCCAATGCAGCTCTTTTGTTACAGGTAATAATAACAACGCAATATTCCATTGATCCAGATCTCTTCTCCATAAACACGGGTTTTTTGTCATGACCTGCACAAACTGAGAAATGAGGCTAAAGGCACAAAACCTAACATTAACAGTCAAGATACCATTCAAACTTTTACCAAAGCTTGTCAGGTTTAACCTTCTGCACTTAAATATAGCTATTTTAAACATCTGCAGTTTCATTCAATCATTTTCTTCTGAAGTGACTGTATTAAGAGACCTGGCGTGGGCAAGTCAGAATATCGGTCTAAAGATATAGCTGGCACCATGAAAACAGTTCTGAAAAACAGTTAAGTGTGCTTACTTACATGTTTGGCTAGGTTCCTCAGCCCTTTTTCCCTGAACAGTTCACAGTATTATTCCAAACATTACTAACCAAGCATGACAACAATTTGAGGTTTTCAGACAAAACAAAGTGAGAGGTTAGTTCTACAGGTAACTTTTAATGCAAGTCTTGAAAATTTGAGAAGATTCTGGTATTTTTCCCTTCCCAATACATGTGATTGCATTTATTTACATATATTTTTACCTTTTGCTATACATTTATAGCAAAACATTTATTAGTTATTGCCAGTTACCTTTTTCATTCTTAAACAATAGCACAAATGGTTTATGGTCATGACACGTCACAATAGCCTTGCTTGCCATTTATGCAAAATTAAAAACAATTAAGCCTACTTTTTTTTTTTTTTTAATCTTCTGGCAAGTCAGGATTTTCTCCTCATTTATTAATAGCTGTGCCTAGCAGAACACACCAAAGGTGCCGATACTCGTGACTAATCTAGATGAAGTTCAAGTTAGCTGACAGGAGATAATTTTCTTCAGTTCTTCATTCAGCTCTTACTCATCCCAGGTATCTCCATATTTGTTTACTTTAACTAAAGAAAAGAAGAAAAAGTGGTCACATATGACTTAATTTAACTGCAAAAGTTTATCTTACACAGTGCTGAAAAGTATGATGAAATGCATTATCATTTAAAGTGGTGAGCAGGGAGAGTGTCAGTCACAGCACGACCGATGTCTAATTAAAGCTACTTTTGAATAAATGGGGAGAAGAGTTTGTTAATCATTATTCTTTAATGAATTATTATTCAGTCAAGAGGCCTACTGCGCTAATTCCTGCTCTACAGAATTTGTAATTACTTTGAAACAAATGTAACATGTGGCTGAAGCAAAGACAATTGGAGGAAACAGGCAAGGAATGTTACGATAAATAATGTGAGTACATAATCTAGTTACGTGCACAATTGGATGGATTCAGGATAGTTAAAAACACGTTCAAAGACAAACGAACAAAAATCAGTAATCCCTACTAGGAAACTGCTCAGCCATTATTATTCGGCAGCTTCCTTTAGTATAGGAGTGAGTCAGAGAGTGAAAAAGGCAGGGTACTAGTCTTAATGGATTTATTCAGAGGTATGTCGTGCGTAACTGAACGACAACAAGTGAGAAGGTGCTCTCCTGAAAGTGAGCTGCAGCGTAGTCTGTAACTGACTGCCATCACTGACAGGGTAAAGGATGGATCTACACGATCCAGTAGGAATGCTGACGCTAGTCAGGCACCCCTTTATAAATCTACTTGCAGGTTAATCACTAAGACCACTGTTTATTAATACCTATCCGCAGTAGAACCAGTGGAATAGAGCAGAATGTATGGTCCTTGTTTCAGCGAGATGTCAGCAAACTTAGCATAATGCACTGACAAACCTCTTTTAAGCTGATTGATATTGCAGTGAGGCACAACGAGAAGCGCTCTGAAAGTACCATCTGATTTCCATTTCTATTCACCATGGCAGCTGAGCAGGCTGTGCTCATTCCCTGGAAAATGGTTCAGTCCAGATCACTACGCAGATGCACGTATTTGTACGGCTACAATGAAGGGAGAATGCACCAGCAGATGGAAGTTAGGGACTGCTTAAAACTGGTTTAAACATGGTTTGTTTTCCTGTATGTCCTTGCAACACAGGGCAGAAACCACTGTCTCCTATTTGCTAGTGTGTTATCTCTGTGTCGTAGGATGAACCAAGGGGTAATGACTCAGGACGTATGAGTAGGCATACAACAAGTAACATGTCCAGTGTGACACAAGAAGCTAAATCAGATCTTAGCCCACAACATCAGTAGAATCCCTGAACTGTAGATTTAAATGTGCTTCCACTTGTAAAACATTTCTGAACTTCTGTATTCCCTCCTTACTCTTTTTCCCTAAAAATACAAGGAGATAGATACTCTTCAAAGTTTATTTACAGATCTCATGCACTGCTCAGTGTAGTTCTATTTTCAAAGCCTGAGTATTCTATTTGTGGAGAAATATCTTGAAAAAGAAACGTTGTGTAAATCAATGAAGTGTCAGCTGATGGAATTTAGAAGCAATCTGAAACTACAGCTTCAATAGCTTTTTAATGTCTCATTTGGCATAGTCACGTGATAAGAGAAAGAGGCTTTCATCCTTGAAATAACAGATTTAAATCATTACCCAATAATTGTTTATAATTTTTATTTCAAGACCATGTAGATCTGTCCAAAGACAGACGATCTGGAGAAAGTAATTCACAAGCATGGAATAGACTGACACTCTTAAGCAACGCCATTCCAAAGCTCACAATTACGGCTTCAGAACTTTTTGCATTAATATACTTTTCTATACTTACTACCACCTGTTATGTTATGCCTGCTAGGAGACGTTAGCTATTCCTACAAGTCTTGTTGCAACGTGATTGACAAGACTGGACACTGCATACAAACCCAAACGATTCAAGCTGACTGGTCCAGCAGCGTGTTAAATGGTAAACCATCCCTCTTGCCAACATCACTTTCACAGATGTCGCACCAAATAAAAAAATGTTCTAGGGCAAGCAATTACGAATTGCTTCTGTGTCTCCTTTTCAAAAAATTGATTGAGTCAAAAAGTTGACTGAATGGCATCTTATTCTTCAGGACATTGCATTCTTATTAAGCTGTGTAAAGTTTTGTTTTTCACTGTGAAAACAAATCTCCATATTGCTGCCAAATACTGTTTCCTTCCTTTAAGTTTTAATGTAGAAAATGAACCTCTACAAACAATGCCTCTATAGAAATCCTCTAATGCCACATGAAACAATTCATAAAAATAAATACCCCCCCCCTTCAAAACCATCAACTGTGTGCTCTATTTTGAGAGAACAATGCTATCTAAACCATACACCCCCTTCCATAGCTAAAACTCTACAGTATAGCTCTGAGCTCAGAGAGGTTGCTCGATAGATTCAATAAACCAAAAGTTACGGGATTTTCAGTCTGGCACCAAGCAATATGGCTGGAGAAGAGGAATTATAATTTGCTACTGGAAGATCAATATTTTTGAAAAAAGAATTAATTTGAAATATGAGACTACAGACCACATCACATATGAGATACCTGCAGATACTGTAAAAATAAATTGCTTAAAGGGTAAGCAGAATTAAGCCATTTTTAGCATTATTGCCAATATTTGAATTTACTACGTATTTCTGTGAATCCATGTATTACCTTCCTTAGCTGGTTTTTCCTGTGAGAACTTGCTTGGAGTTTCTGCCTTTGGTGGTAGCATTACCTCATACGTCTCTCTGTGTTTATTCCTTAATTCCTCGTATGTGATGCCTTTTTTTTTACGACTTTCTTCTGGAATTGGAGCAGGATCTGAAAACAAAACAAACACCAAAATACTAGAAATGGCGTCACGCACCAAAACTTGGCTACAACCTGTTCTAGAACGCCAGTTAATTACAGCTCAATCCCAAATGAAAAGGAGCATGACAGCTGCAATTCTAAATGCAACTGAGAATGTATGTGGTCTTTAATTAATCCATTCCTTTTATCCTTTTCATTTTGTCAAACTGCTTTGGAAGATTGGCAGTTAACTCCTTTTCTTCATTTTATCCAATGGAAATCCTAACAACCACGTGTTGTTGATGGATAAAATAGTTCTGGTCACTTTGTGTGAAATTTATGATAATCATACATTTCATGTATTTATGATTTCTGAAGAGAAATCTAAGTGAAGCTTAAGGGTTTGCATTCAGGCTTCAAATTTTGCTTTCAAAGAATTAGGACTACATCCACCATATGTCACCCGATAAGCATTTTATCCTTTTATCTACATTTGTAATGCAGAATCTTGATTCTATAATTAAGGTTCTACCAACTATTGATATTTGTGACGAAGTGTAATTACAATCTCCTTGACACATCTCCATTTTCTCTAACTAAAACCGAGGTGCATGCAAGGGCTTTTTTTGTGAAATAAAACCTTTTCCATAAAGGAGTTAAAAAATGCAAACTAATTCGAAGTTCGAAACTCTGCATTTGACAGTAACTTCCTCCTTTGTGTACCAGAAAGACCTGAACTCAGAATTGTGTGTTTCCCCTGCAATAGCTGAGGACAGAGTTCATACTGGAAGGAGGGGAACAGCTGCACAGAAACAGTGCTTGAAAACCATTTTAATTCTCCGTGAGAAAATCAGCTGTTGCCAGACAGAATACAATATGCATTCAGTTCGCAGAAGGTTTAAATGTTTGTCACATTATTAAAAACAGTTTAATGTCACTGAATTATAGTAGTATACAGTTACAGCACCACCGCTGGTGAAAATGAAATCACTTCAGAAAGGCTAGGAGACAAATGGTAGAGACTATGCTTTATTTAGTGCAGTGAAAGGATGGCATATTCACCTTAATTTCAGTCAAAAAGAACTTCAAGTCAGGCTGAGTTTTTTGCAGATTTAGTCTCACTACAGATTGAACCTTTTAAGTTAATTTACGATCTTTACTTGCAATTAGAGCTACAAAACATGAAAAAAAACTGAATTTAGTTTACAGTTAGAATGCAAAATAATACCTATATTTACCTCCTGTGTAAGAACAATTCTGGGAACTTCAAGCTGTTTCATTCAAAAGCACTATATTGTACCGTGTATGTTTGCATGGGATGAAAATACATAGTTTAGTAAGAGAAGTATCTAAGAGAAAGGCAGAGCCATCGTACTACAAATTGCTAAATATTAAGACAAAACACACCTTGAACAGTGTAATCAGTAATTCCTGTAGGTGAAGATTCATTCAGGGAAGCACTGAATGGAACGGGTTCATAACTTGAGAGGGCTCTATCTGTTGAACTATAATCATCTGAATAGCTAGAAGAAAGCGAGAATCCAGCTCTGGGAGAAGGAGATTCAGTAAATGACTGAGAAGGCATGTCTGAAAATTCAGATTTCCGACTGGAACGGCTGGAAAATAATACAATTAAATATTAAATACAGAAATACTAAAGTTAAAAATGGAACTATAAGAGTAACAATACGTGCAGTTCAAGAAAATACTCTTTTATTTTAAATGGTTTAGTTTCCAACATGAATTACAGTCTTAAAAAGAAGTTTGGGTTTTTTTTTTTCTTTACATTGCAAAGATCTGTATCATCCCTTCCCCAACACTCTTCCCTTCCTCCCAGAAACTTAGCTCACACCTGAAAATCTCCAGAACAGAAGACAAAAGAGACGAAGTATTTTGCACTTTACAAGACAAAAATGACAATCCCTTCCCCCAGGGAGTCTTCAGACAGAAAAAACACATCAGACACAAATAGTACAGGGTGTGCCCATGTAACTAGTGGTAGCATGAACTATAGTTATTTTTAAAGGCCTTTTAGGAAGAGTTTGCAATTTAAAACCCTTCATCATCAGAAGCTGCTGTAATTGATCAGTACTGAACAGCAGAAGAAAAGGAGAATGAAAAGTTATCTTGGGGAAATTAAATTATGAAGGTTTATGGAGTTGCTGAATTCACCAGAAACATTAATGAATTTTCTCTTAAGAGGGAAAGGTAAGATCATACAAAGGACATTCTGGAGACTGACGCCTGATATTCTAAAGCATTCGCTACATCCTCGGAATGACCCTGCAAACCACTACACAACATGCCTCTCTATCAAGAGTGCCACCCCTTGGTGCCACTAGAATGTCTCTAGAGTACTTATTCATTTTTTACTTTAAATTTCTGCTTAGCTGTACTTTTAGTTTCATATGAAAAGCATTTGCAATTAGTCTTTGTTTTATTCTCACAATAAACATACAGAGCCATTTTATTGCCTCAATTATATTTTTAAAGTATATGCAAACACAGCTTTAAAGAACTAGCTAATCTTTTAGCTCCTTACCTATTTTTAACTGCAAATCAGAGTTACCAAATTACTTAGTGGACATATAATGACCATGAAAATATAATGATTTCTGTTGCTGGCTTAAAAGAGTAGCATGTATGGACAATAATGCAATTTGAATGAATTTAAATTAATCATTCAACCAAGGGAAACAAAAAAAAAAAAGGAATTTATCACTTAGGAAATAAAATTTTACAGATACAAAAGAATGGACCGTTAAAGGTTGAAAAGACTTATTGGTGCAGCAGATGATGGCATTTAAACAGGTTCTCACCTAGAGTAAACCACCACTCACCAAACAGTTAACCACCATGATAATTTCTTATTAGAAACTGGGGGTGGTGAAGGGACAAGTCCAGTTCCTATTCAGCTGAGTTTATACAGTAAATGTACGAAGTGGTAATTCCTAAAATTATGTATGATGCCATAAAAATGTAAACATTTTAGAATAAAGGTAAATCTTGCAGACAAAACTGTCATAAATCTGAATTTATAAAGTAGTTACAAATGTAATCAAGTCCTTTATAAACAATTAACAAATCTTAGCACATACATAGCAGGATGACTACTCACTATCTAAACACTGTTCTCCCAGTTTTGAATCAAGGGTTTAAGTGAGATATTCCGAAAGTAGTTTGCAATTAAAAACTACTTGAGGTAGAAAACATTTTGGAACAAAACAGGAAATAGTTTTAAGAACCTGATGAGTTTCTCATATGTACAGCATAATGCTGTTACAGATGTAAAGGTTTTAAACAAACAGCAGTAAGTTTGACCACCGTGCTTCTTCCTGCACTGATATTGTTTACTGAGCTCTTTCCTTTGATAAACACTGAAATCATTTCCACCCTCTTCCTACTTCAATCCAACTAAACTATGGGAAAAACTTCCAGAACATAACACTATTTTATTTCCATGAACTTAGTTTACTTCTAAACTACAGAGGCAACTTCTGCTGTCACACTACTGTAAGTAAATTCCACAGGAAAACATCATCTTAATTTACAAGGAATACATTTTGCTAAGTAAAATGTTTCTTTTTCTACTCCTCAAAGTGATCAGTTGTACATAAAGAGCTCAAAATGTGTGTTTTATAGCTGGCCAACTGATACAGATACAGCTTCCTGAAACTGGTAGATTTGGGGTAATAGAGGAAGGAGAGAAGGTTCAGCTCTGAAAGTCTTTGAAAGCTGCAAATGCAGCCTTGATCTGTTAGCGTTTAAAATGTCCTATTCAAGAATAAGTTTTAAATTAAAAAGAGAATTGAATTCTTACTTATGTGAACTATGTCTCTGAGCTTGTCGTAGAACATCTCCTATTGGAGAATCCTTCAGTTTCTTAAATTTCTCGCTACAGATTGGCAAGTAGGATATCTTTCCAGCCAGGTATCCACACATTCCAGCAACTTTTTTAAAAGAAAAAAAGATGGTTTTATATACTGCATCATGACATTCAACATAGTTTTAAAATAATAATTTCAAATAAATTATACAGTATCTTGAATAAAAGAAAAAAACCAGTTTAGATCTAAACCAAAACCACGCAGTAATCATCTCTGCTTCTTTTGCAGACAAAGGGTACAAAAAACAAATGCAACAGCTGAACAGAGACATAAAGCAATGATTTAGACATGGCATGAGCATCAGATGATTTCAGCTAGTACCTGATGACTGAAAGGTGACAAAAAAAGAAAAATAATTGCAATCAGTTTTTCCCAAGATCCAGAAATAACCATTAACTATCAAAGATGATAAAACAGTCAGGAATAGGCAAAGGTAGTAAATTCTGCTAATTTCATCCATCAGAACAGTCAGATCTTGAAAAGGCTTTCACTAGTATGAAGAGAAGTCTAAATAAATTTAGGATTAGGCTCAGTATCTCCTGAAGAGGATTCTATGCTTTGGTTGCCAGAGGGCAAACAACTGAATTAGCTGAACCCTCGCTATCTCTAGGCAAATGCTTTCAATTTAGGGCATGAGGTATTTTCATCTGCTAGACAGGACAGAAGAATAAATGATCACGATAGTTCTTTCTGGGCTTCAAACTGATGATTTCCATCAACTGGCTCCTTCAAGTTTTGTGAGTGGGTCAGAGCATGAAGGAGCATGAAGGATTCAATGGCAATTAATAGAAGTTTTGTTGTTGACTTTGTAGGAGAAAAGGACTAGATCCTTCTTTCATATGCAACGAGTATTTTCTCAATACAAAGACGAAAGACTCAATCTTCTTTAAGTCAGGAAAGAGTTAACTACCAGTAACCTCTGAGGTCCTCACACTGTAGATTACATCGCCTGGGAATCAATATAAAAGGGGATTTTACCCTACCCTGTACTGAAATTGTGATTCCTGTCCTAATGCCTGTACTTTCAAAAGGAGGTTAAAAAAAAGAAGTTTACAAATGAGAAATGTAAGGGTTTAGCTGTTTCGCAGGTCAAAAAAATTGGAAGACACCTCAAATGCTATAAATATGCGCAAAGGGAAAAATTACAAGCCCCTAAAAGGAAAAATGGCCCAACAAGGATTCAAACTAAATATTTAGCAAAATAAAGCTAAGCAGCAAAGGTGATTAATCTCTGGCATAAATGACAAAGAGAAAGTCTCCTTTTCTTGAGGCCTTCCAGTCAAGAAAAGTGGAAGCATCTCTCTGGAAGATGTTTCACCCGAAGTAATTATTGGCTAAAATATTTGGTTTCTCTTATTACAGAACTAACAGCCAGAGGATCCACATTTTTGAAGTTAGCGCAGTAAATTAGATATTGTTGCTCTCTGCTTCTTCTGTATTCATTGTGACAAGACCTTAGAGAAGCTGATCAGAGATAGATAAAAGAGGCCAGGTCCCACTGCAGGCTAACATGAAGTAGGACATATGGATCTTACCCTTCTTTGCCAAAGAGGGATAGAGGACCAATAGTTCTATGCTATGTTGAAGGGGATGCTGTCAATGTAGTGTATCAATCACGAGTAACTAGAAGTTCCATTAAATTGTCAGAGTGCCTAGAAGACTACTGAAAAAAGTTATGAGTAATTCCTATAGGCAGGAGAACATCCTGGAATCTGAAAATTCCTATCTAGAAAATGAAACACCTCTCAACTTCCAGATAAAACTCAGAGGGGCAAAGCAGGGAAAGATGCAAGACGGAGATTGAAAAAAACCTAACTCAACTATGTTAGTTAGATATAAAAGACCAATTACTGTAATCGGGCATAAATACGCTTCAGAAAAAGAATCTAACAGCCGCAAGTGACACACACCATTATCAAAGACAGACTATTGTAATCAATAGATGCAGAAGCAGTATGCTCAGATCAGTGACACCAGAAAAGCAAGAACTGTCTTGAACTGTCTTACTGTTGTTCAACATCAGCTAGCTATGAGCTAGCAGTGGTGCCTGGAGTGGCACATGCTCTTCTTTCAAAACTCACCGAGGAAAAAAAAACAAACCAAAACACAACTGCACTGCTTCCTTGAATCAGATTTCACTGCAGGAGGAATGTGCAGTTAAATTACGAGACATAATTTGGATCTGTAAACTATGTCCCTGGCAATAGTTTTCAGGAAGATCCTGTAGACAGTAGGGGCATCTGATCTAAACAATATGAGGATGAAACGAAAACTGCTTAACTCAGGCCTTTTACACTCCAACTATGTCCCAGAAAAATCCCTGTATTTAAAATGCACATAAATCACATGAAGTTAACCTACCGAAAAACAACCAAAACACACATTTCATGGAACATTCTTTTAGTATAAAATGAAAGTCTCTATGCCTACCAGCGTACATCGAAAAGGAGAAGCCAGAAGTATTTTGGCTTATAAGCTTAACATCAAGAATAGTTGGTCTGGTCCAGCTGCTCCTTATTTTTTCCCTTGATTTCAAAACATAGTTCTATTAAATAGGAGGAGTGTAGCCCTTAATTAGAAATGCGTAGGATATAACAAGGAAATAGTAATTCTATTATTTATTAGAAACATTGGGGTTGTAACATTGTTTGGCATTTGAAGAAAGCAAGTAGAATTTTGCATAAACAAATGGCAGCCCTAGTCTGTCGCATTCATTTATCTGCCTAAACAACACTTCCTTCTCCACAAATCGTGGGTTTTGCCCTCTTCCCACTGAAGTAAACTGTAAGAGTAGCTGGCTGTATCTGGGCAGATTGGCAGGATGGCAACTTCCTGTTTCACTGTCATGTATTACGTTTAAAAGGTTACATTATTAATTTTTTTTTGATTATACTTAATCCAACATCATTCACATGAAATTGCTGTTTTCCTACAATTGTACATACATAATGTCCAGGAAAAAAAGGCACTAAAATAGGCTGAATGGGACAAGTGAGACGCATGAATAAAGACCTTCAAATTAGGAAGGGAGGGGTGAGCGTACTCTGGCAAAGTAATTTAAAGTAAGCTTGTACAGTATCTATTTACAATGTTTTTTATCTTAAATTCTTACATTACACTTGTCAAGCATATTTCAAATCTCACAACTTTATGGAAAACCTATAGACAAAACTTGTCCAAAAACGTGCTGCACAAATTCAAAGATGGTGAATAAATGAAACGTTCTACCTCTTGACATTGAATAGGTTCTTGCAGTACGAGATGCTGTAGTTAAGAAACATACCTAAAAGTTGCTGACTGATAGAATTAACTGCAGCAAGGTGAAAGTTATTCATCAGATATATCAGATCATTTACTCCTATCTTCAGGCACAGTTGTACCAATGTAAGCATCGATTCTATGATTCTGCAAGTGCCGGATTCTCCACCTGGGACAGGGTAATCCTGGTTATATGTACAAATTGGGGGATGAGAGCCTGGAGGGCAGCCCCGCAGAAAGAGATCTGGGGGTTTGGGTTGATGGCAAGTTGAATATCAGTCAACAGTGTGCCCTGGCAGCCAAAACGACCGACTGTCCCACTCTACACTGCATTGGTGCAGCCTCACCTCGAGTACTGTGTACAGTTTTGGGCTCCTCAATATAAGAAGGACATCAAACTACTAGAGTGTGTCCAGAAGAGGGCAACCAAGGTGGTGAAAGGTCTCAAGGGCAAGACTGTCAAGGGCAAGAGGAGCAGCTGAGGCCACTTGGCTTGTTCAGCTTGGAGAAGAGAAGGCTGAGGGGTGCCCTCACCGCAGTCTACACCTTCCTCAAGTAGGGCAGCGGAGGGGAAGATGCTGATGTCCTCTCTCTGGTGACCAGTGATAGGACACGAGGAAATGGAATGAAGCTGCGTCAGGGGAAGTTCAGAGTGGATATTAGGAAAAGGTTCTTTACTGAGAGGGTGGTCAGTCACTGAACAGGCTCCCCAGAGAAGTGGTCACGGCACCAAGCCTGTCAGAGTTCAAGGAGTGTCTGGACGATGCTCTTAGTCACATGGTTTAGTTTTAGGTAGTCCTGCAAGAAGCACGGAGTTGGGCTCGATGATCCTTATGGGTCCCTTCCAACTTGAGATATTCTATGATTCTATAATTATATAGAGTGGAGTAACAGTGAATCAGCCAGCTAGTCTTGTGGGAATTGTATCTGCGTAACAGACTCCAGAACCAAAAGCATGAATACAAGCTGAATTTCTATGTAGCTTTTACTTACACGCAACTTTCGTAAAAGAGCCAAATCTTGAGCTATCTCTTAGAACACCTGAAAATGAGGATCAAAGTAATTAGTAATAAGTAATTAAGAATTATGCTGAAAAACATCAGGTTTTTCATCAACTGTAGGTATGTTTGTAGGTTATTTTGTAGTTATGTTTGTAGGTAGCAAGTTACTCTTTTACACTTAACGTTGAAGAAAATTCAAGAAAACCTAACATCTGAATTCCCCATAAAATTATACGGATCTAAGAATTACCTTTTTAATCATATCACACACAGTATTACTACACACTATAGAATATATTGTTTCATAATCACTGAGATACTGCATTTGTCAAACAACATAAAATGAGCATGAATTTGATTTTAATTTGAAGTTTTGCTCCTTCTTTAGTTTTAGGAACTGTCAGTCATGTAGCTGAAGAGTCTGAACTTCTTTTAATTACAAGTAGATTAGACATTATATTATTACAGTAACTTTATTAACAGCAGAAATATATTTCATCTGAGCAAATCCAAATTAACCCGAAGTATGTTTACACTTTACCTTTCCTAATTAAGAAACTAGTTGCAAGCATGCTCACTGCAGCCAAAGGAAAAGCTGTGAAGAAGAAGAGAAGTTGCTTAAAATATGATTTTCAATATTTTCAACCACATTTAACAAAATATGCAATAAAATGAGAGTTGCTAGGCCTTACTAAGCTCATTTGTATAAGAATATAAGTATATATATATAATTAACAAACTGTATATAAATTATGAAACATTCTCAATTCCAGTTTTTAAGACCTACTACAAATTATTCAGTACTGGTTAATGAGTCATCCTATCTTCATTAGACTTCACGCTTCCTAAAATACAAAAGCCAACGCCAGATGGGATAAAGCTCTAAGGACAGGATTCCAGGTCTAGCTACAACTGCTACAGCATCAAGATGCAGAACTTTAAACCACAGAAGCACACACAGTTCTTCAGGACAGAAGGCAAGTTAGGTAGAGGCCAGTGCCTCTAAAAATTTTTGACAACCGAAAGTCTTGATTTTCTTTTAACATAAGAACTTCGGAAAAAGTCTAACTCTTATAGAGTTATAAACTACATTGATTAAAATTAGGTAACCTGTTTTATTCACCAGCAAATTAAAGAACTGGGCAGCTTTTTCTGTAGCTCACGGATCAAACTATACAACTCAGGGGCAGGGTAAGGAATGCAGAGAAGACAACAAACATGGAACAGCATTACTGCCTATCGCAATCAGCTTAACAGTTCATGTCGATTTTTATCATATTGGAAGAGTTCAGGTGGCAGGAAGCATTTGAAGATGGCAAGAAACAAAAGGAATGCTTATTTCAAGCAATGATAATTCTGATATTGGGAAGATTAACTTTGAAACTACTCGTAAAGACCACCATGCCTACACAAGATACAGTGACGCTGAAATAACGAACATGACAGAAGACTGAAGTTAATTACATTAAAGATTTAGATGTGTCGTAATGAAATTACATTTTAAGCAAGTCTGAAAATGTAGATATTACAAAAAGGCTCAATGACTTTAACTTTGCCTAGGGGAAAATTTTTTGCAACAACAGCACTAGATGTTTATAGTGTTTTGATGCACACAATTTGCTAATTAAGTCCATATTTGAAGATAAATGATATTTTTTAGAATTTGGACAGCACAGTATTAAATATACTTTGCAAACTAACAGTTTATTCCTTCACAAATTCTGATGGGTCTAAACTAGGTTAGGAGTCCAACCAGCATTTTAGGGTAAATATGACTGGATGTCACTTTTTAAAAAAACCAAGCTCCTTGGTTCACAAGCACGATTACAGTAATACTTCAAAATAGAGAATAAAATCTTCCAATCTATTAAAGATTAACACCCTGATGCTTTTAGAGATTCTAGACCTAGATTTTCCAAAATTTAGAGTTCTAGATTTTCTGAGATATAGAATGGCAGTGCAGATTTGAAGCTAAATTATAAGAGGAAAAAAAAACAAGGGAGGGGGGGGCTTAAAAAAAAATAAATTCCAAAGAACTTATCACAGAGGACTTCAGTCTAACCCCTAGAGTTTTGAAATGATTTATAGGCCCAACACAAATATTCCGGACATCAAAGACAGGTTACGCACTTTAGTGGAAACAGCTGCTAGTATGTGAGCATATAAATGACCTAAAATGGCAACTAGAAATTAAAAGAGTAATACATAAATGAAAATTGGGTTCATACATAAAAATTAACATGAATAATTATTCAAGTGTAGAAAAAAAACAAAAGCAGCTTAATAAACCAGAAAATATCAATGCTTTTCACTGCTATGGGCAAAAAGTACTTTTTCTGCTTCAGGAACAGAATAAATCCTAGGAAAAATAATGCAAGGCTGATATATCAACAGCACATAATTAGGAATGGGAAGGTAATGTATCCTAGTCAAAATGGTTTTATGGGGAAAAAGTGGTATCGATCTGGTTTAATTTTGTTAGCGAGATTAAAAGTGCGAAGGATAAAATTGTAGATTGTAACGTGAATTTTTACGGTATTAGCATTTATATTATATGATGAGATTAAAAGTTAGTAATACCAGTAAAGCATACATTAAACTGAATTATGAAATGACTAGCAAGCATTTCTGAAATAGAAACTACTGCAAAACAGAGAGGGTTTGTAAGAACTGGTAAAAATTTACTACAGCTTGAAATTTGAATAAACCAACTGAAGATACACAAATTTATAGTAATATCTGTCAATAACAAGAACTGGTACAGTAAGAAGTGAGGATGTCAGAGCAGTCACACAGGCAGCCTATACTTCTTGCAAAGGGGCGTTCAAATAATATGTGTTTAATACAGTGAATACAACAATCTAGGCACATGTAACGCAGAACGACAAAACAAAGACAGGAGACCTAGAAAACAGCAACGGGCCTTAGGCTCTCCCAGTGAGGTAAAAGCACAGTACACAACTCCTGAAAAAAAATCTCTCAATTACTGTTGTAGCTCCCTAAAGTGAAATTACCGAAGAAACTAATTTGGGGCTTCTCAACAATACCTTCATGTTGTTTCTTCAGTTTCTGTATAAAGATGAACAGGGCAGTAAGTTACGTTGCCAATCAAGAACTCACAGCAGAACACCTCAGGAACAAACAACTCCCTCCCCTCTTATCTTCCAGGAGAGAGATTATCAATAAGCCATAACCAATCGCCATCTTATTACTAATGAACCTGACTCTTTTCACTTATAAAAATATAAGGAAAATGGCTAGATTTTAGCAAACAAGCTGAAGGTTTCCAGGTATTTGAATAAAAGTGGCAGAGAAGAATGCCAAAGCAATGGAGAAAGATAAAGCAGAACTTTGAATCGTTAATTCAAAATCACAATGCCTCAGAAGTTGCCCCTGAAAGTACTGGCTGCCAGGAGAAATCCCAGTGTGCTAGATTTAGCAAATCAGCTGCTAAATTCTTCATCCGTCCTGGTTTCTGCTAAGCCACCTATCAGCACCAGGAGTAATCTACTAGTGTGTGATAAAACAGTGGGTAACAATCACATCAGAAGGCTTGGTCAAACCTCTTGACCAGGTGTATAAAAAACAGGTATGTCTTGAACCTTTGGATTACAGAAACAGTGTTAAGAAGTAACAACATCAATTCTCAATGTTTTGTGAAAAAAAAACCCAAACAAACAACATAACCTCGGTATTTCAAATAAATTAAGATGAGACACAAAGTATTCTGTGAAAACAATGCAAGTTTATTATTCCCATATACTAGCTGTAATACAGGCATCATTACTGACTGCAGAATCATGCTTGAGAATCTTAGCTTTTATTTACAGGGAAAAAAGCCTAAACGTCTGGCCATGCATAGACACTGAAATTTTCTCCAAACATCGAGCTGAGCGACTACTTATACATTATTCTCCTCACAAGTCTCCAGAAAGATGGAAAGCAATGGTTCTAAGCTAAACTATTTTATTCGTGCATTCTAAAGAAAACAACAAAAATTGAAAATAAAAATGTAGAAATAACAAAACCAAAAAAGTATTCAGATGCATAAATAAATGAGAGACTCCATTAATTATATCTGTTTTCAGACTTCTAATAAGCATATTAATTTAAAATACGAAGGGACCTTGTTATAAAGCGTAAACCTTACAAAATATGTTGTACCTTTTACAAAATTCTTGTCCTGCAAACTCTTAATAAATGTAAATCCTACATGGATCAACATTTACTGGGATGCAATTTTAGACCATGTGAAGCTTGCTAATGAACTGTTGTGATATATCGACCTGGGCCTGCCTTCCCTAATGCCTCAGATAACAACAAAAACTAAGGGTGGAAGAAAAGCAAACCAAGTTTACCAGCAAACTGAACTTACCTCTATACCGGGCACTCTCTTCAGCACATTCCTTGAGGAGTCTTCTTTCCTCCTCTGTCGGCACATAAGGCTTAGGTAGTTCCCTCTTTCATTAGGGAAATAAATTAGAAAAGAATGAGCAAAAGAAAGGTTTGGGGGGATTTTTCAATTAAAAACTTTGTCTAACTTTCACACCTTGCAGGGCCTGTACTTTCACGCAGCTATACTTAAGGAACCAGTGCCTTTTGTCTATAAATGTCACATGAAATAGATCATTAAAAAAAATTCAGTGATTCTACAAAACACTTGAGAGAGCGGAAAATATTTTGCGCATGCTCAAATCCCAACTCGGTCCTCTCCTTTTTCTTCAGAAAAGCCTGCTTTGGTCCTTGCAACCAGCCTTCCAAATCGATGAATTCTGACAGCTCACTAAATCCCTTTTTAAGATATTTGTCAGGGTTTCAATTACACAATGCGTGTTGTCCGTTTACGTGCATATCTATTCGGTGAAAACTGCCGAGCTGTTTTGCCGGCAGGTGAGAAGTTTCTACCAGAGGTGCGTGACCCTCTCCTGCCCTGAAAGGCGTGCACCCTGCCAGACCGCCGACCGGGAGAAGGGCAGATGCGAGGCCACCAGCACCGGGAAGGACACCGGTTGCCGGGACCGTGTCCCCCTCCCCGCCCCCCGCGAAAAGGCCGCCGGAAAGGCCTCAAGGCACCGTCCCCGCGCCTCCGCAGGCCGCCAGGGAGCTCCCGGCAGGGGCGGGCGGAGC